TCAGCACACGCCAGCTTGCCATGTCTCCCTTCCACCTGGGAGGCCACTCAGCGTCGTGCTCGGTTTCCCCAGCCGCAAATGGGAGCGAAGATTTCCCGTGTTGCCTCACAAAGTTTGCAGTTGGAGACGGCCTCCTCCTGCGGTCAGGGCCTTGACTGCTTTGTGGTGTGTGGTGGAGTCCCCAAAAGCCCTACCCAGTGCACTGAAGCAAGGACTGCAGATTCGAAGTCACCGGTGTCCTTCCTCAGCCCAGGCAGCTGAGCGTCAGTGTGGAAGAATGGGCTAAGGACAGAACGGTCCCTGCTTCACGTAGCGGGAGCAAACGGTGCTGGCTATTAGGAATAGGTCACCCTTGCTACATAAGGAAGATAGCAGTGCTAGAGAGGAGGACGGGCAGTAAGAGCTGGCCTCCCAGCAGCAGTTTAAGTAAAATTGTGGAGTTGGTCTGCGACCTTTGCTGCCTGTAGAGCTGCAGGGCAGAGACCCCTCCCAACAGTGACGCTAGAAATTATGCCCCATTGGAAGGAGCAACCAGAGTTAAGACAAAGCTTATAGATCAGCATTCCGTTAGGTGAATAAAGTGAGCTACAGGGATACCTGGGATGTGCATATGCCGTCATACCTGCGTCCAGTAGGAAAACGGTATGTAACTAGAAGTGTCTGCAAGGATGTGCCCCAAAATGTTAACAGTGGCTAGCTGCTTTGTCTTTGACATTTTTTATTTAACTTTTAATAAACTTTTTACTTTAAATAATGACTTTATAAATATTATAGCTACCATTCTTAAACAACCCTTCCCCCTCCCTTTAAGAATAAAGTGGTTGCCAGAAAAAGCAATTTTTCTGCTGGTTTTCTTGGCTTTAGATCAGTGCAAATCCTCATTCCATCTGGGGCTCTGACTCGAAGGAAGAAAGAAGGAAACAAAAGAACAAAAACGAGATTAGATCTTCAGTTGATTACTGGTTGGTATTATCACTCAAACAAGATCAGCTGTAAAAAATGAATCGACAGACAAAATGTAAAACTATAAGACTCTATAGAAGGAGATGACCAGGGACGGATGAAAGAACTAGGTGCGCTAGGGAGGGACAGTGCTCACACTGGCACTGCTGTCCTCATTGGAAAGCCGTCCTATGATCATAAAACCTTGGTTTTACGCAAAAAGAAAGAGGCCGTTGGTTTAGATGATCCATAGGGAAAAGCTATTTATACTAAGTTGGATAAATTGAACATATGGCCTATGCAGAATTTATATAAGCTCTTTTTTTATTTTTTGCTTATGGATCAGACCGGAGTGGTCTTTACCAAAGGGAACGTGGAGGGCACCTGGGCTAGGAAGTAGCCAATGTGATTAGTCTTCTTTAGCTCGAGCTTTAAGGTTTTTGAACTACTCAACTCGAGACCATACAGAGATATATGACACTGTAAAACCGAATTGTTAACACTCGTCCTGGATAGCTTCGATAGCAACATATTTAAAAGAAAACAAAAACACGGCAGTATACCGTCCCTGCATTGAGACTAGCCAATTCAGATATTGGTCTTAATTACAGGTGGTTTTGTGGGGCCAGCCACCTTAGCAGCTGACATAGCCAATGACCACAAGCCGATCGCACAGCGCGGCAGCCCACTCCTCCCATGCAGAACAGTTTCTAATGGCTCTCCCTACATTTTGTTCTTATTTTTGCATATTATTCTAAATATGTACAGAGTCAGAGGGGATTAATTGGCATCCTTCTCACTGATGTTTTTGAGCCCAGACAAATGGCTGTGTATTTTTCCTAAGACTGAGGCCTGCGGCTTTCCATCGCACCAAGCCCATACGCTCTTTCTACCTCTTCGCCTGGTTGTGTCCCTCTTAATTCTCCCTCCATTTAATTTGGCATTACTGGCTGTTATATAGGGATTATCACATGGCCTTTTATGTGTGACCATTGATATTGTCGTCTTGCCGACATCGAGTTTTCCTTTAGTACTATATCTTGAGTTTAATCTCTGCTTTGCAGAGATAGAAGATAAAACGGGATGTGATGTGATGGAGTGAGTGAGGGAAAGCGAGAAAGCAAGAAGACCACACAGATGAAAAGTACTACTTCTTGGGAGGCCAGGATACACTTACCAGATATGCACTCGCTCCCTGTGGACCTTGCCACCAAGAGATTTGGTCTTAAGATATACGGAGAGAACCTTAAAACTCAACAAGTAAGTAGCACCAAACAAACATTCTTAGATTAAGGATGAATGTGGCATAGGATAGATGAAGGAACAAACTATCAGGCCAGCGGGAAGCACAAACAAGAAGAATAGAGATGCGGTACTCAGTTGGCTTACTCTAGAAACATGTCTTGACGAAAGCCGTTGGAGCAGGCCATATCGCTCAGGAATATCATTGATCATCATTTAAATTGCATATACAGAATTAAGAACCTAGAAGAATTATTTGCCACTAAGACACACTCTATCAATTGAACTAGTGTCAAACAACAGATACATAACAATACTTACTGACTACTAATAGATCACATCCCAAAAAAATCCCACCAAGGACCCTCGCCCGTAAAAGACATAAGGAAAAGAGAATACCCGATAGAAAAGTCTAGATGCTGATGGAGAAATTGTGAAGCATGATAGAAGAAAAACTGCTCATTCATTTTCAATGAGAAGGTATTGTCTCAAAAAGATGGGTATGAACAAGCAAGACTTTGAGCGATTTGGTTGGTGGGAGAGTCAGCAGCTTCAGGCAATTTCCTACTGATCTCAAACAGACCGACTCAGGGTTGTATATTATTCGTATCACCGTAATTCAAATTGCCTAACATAGTTCCACAATCTAGCACTTCATTACTTCTTAAGCTATTTCGCTTCCCAACAGATTTGTTCGACAACTAATGCTCTATATCAAAAACCGTATAATGTTATAGCGCTTTATTCATAATTGCCAAAACTAGAGCAACCAAAATATCTTTCAATACTCAATGAATAAAAGACTGTGGCACAATTAATATTATTCAGATAAAAAGAAATGAGCTATGCTTTCAGTTGCCTTAGGTGGAGGGAAAAATTGTCAGCATGAATTGGGAGGAAAAAAAAAGAATGAGCTATGAATCTGAAAAGACATGGATAAAAATTAAAATACATATTTCTAAGTCAAAGAACAATCTGAAAAGGCTACATAATTCACAATATGGGCTTCTGGAAAGGCAAATACTGTCTTTCCCCGGAAAATAAGAACCCATAAATAGCCTAGGCAGGATTTCTTTTTTCTTTTCTTTTTTTTTTTTTGAGATCAGGAGGTCTCATTTTGCCCAGGCTAGTTAACGCTCTGCGGTGTGACCCGTGTCATCTAAGACCCTCTGGCCTACACAGCAACTCCAACTATTTCTCCTTTGGGCGTTGTCAATGCCAGTCCTGTCGTTGCTCCATCTCCTGTCAGTAGCTGGACCACTACAGCATGCGGCAACTGAGTTCTTTAATATTTATTAGTTGGCAAGCGCAGCGAATTCAATTATTCATTTGTATGTTCAGTGCAGGTGGGAGCACCGAAGGTCTTCACATCTTGCTTTCAGGCTGGTTTGATTTGAACCCCTGACCTTGAGCATCGGCCACCTGGGCCTTCCCAGTAAGTGCTGAGCAAATTTACAGGTGTGAGCCACCACGCTCGCCCCTAGCAGGGATTTTTCTAAGCATTTTGCGTAATCACATAATGCCTACCCCGAAGAATACAGACCTATGTGATGGACGTGGTACACAACCCATGGCTATCATCGTGGAGCTGTAACAGAAGAGGAGAGCCTTTCTCTCTGCCCCATCAGAGGCTCTATTGCGTTGACATGAGAGATTGGGGCCAATGGTTCTAAAGAAATATGTGTGTGTGTGTGTGTGTGTGTGTGTGTGTGTGTCTGTCTGTCTGTCTGTCTGAGAGAGAGAAAGAGAGAGAGAGAGAGAGAGAGAGAGAGAGAGAGAGAGAGAGAAAGAGAAACTGGTGAAGTCACCAGAATTATGGAAATGGTCTGTAGGGGGAAAGGAAGAAGAATAGCGAGTTGTGGGGAGAATTCAATTCAATTTGGTCCAATTCATCAAATATTAAGTACATCAGTGAACAGTGTAGATAATTATCCTGCCTCCAGGAAGCCTGCTTGCTTGCTTTTTTTTTCCACCAAGCAGATTCGAGAGACAGAAAGCTTACTTACTAATGTGGAAAGATAATTCACTATAAAGAATACATAAGCAGACCATATGGGATCTCATAAGGTGTAAATTGCTGCAATCAAAATGGGAGCTCAGGAATATGGTGCGATGTTAAAGAGTGACAGGCAGGTCCCATTGAGAAGTGAGTCCTTTGACTTGCAGGCGTTGAGGGGACCATCCCTGGGGAAGGAGATTTCCAGGCCGAGGGCCTCCCATTGTGGAGCCCTGAGGCAGGAGGACTTTGAGAAAACAGAGGTTAAAACATATGTTTTGCCCACTTTCTGGATTTTCTTTCCAGTGGCTCATTTGGGGGTGTGTAGGTCCAACAAAGGCAGGCACCTGGGTGTGGGCAAAGGCCCCAGAGTTCATAGCTGGCCTTTGGATCTTCCTCCCACTACCCCACTTCCCAGGCTGGGGTGTGGCTCATTCCACCTCCTCAGTTGTTTTGGACGCACCCACAGCCCTCTGGAACTCTGCTCCTCAATCACAGAGCAAATTGGGGTGAAAAGGACCCCCATGCCCCTGCCCAACCATCCACAGGGTACTGACTTCCAGCCAATCAACGTGAAAGCCTCCCAGCGGGACAGAGACAGGGACTGAGAATGGTGGGTGAGCAGCAAGAGTTCCACAAATGCTATATACTCGGGGGAGACAGATCCCGATCTCCCTCCCGACCCCTCCTCCTCTCCCCCTCCCCCACCCCTACCTCCTGCCAGAGCCCTCGCCCACTCTTCCTCCCCTAACACACACACACACCCCACACAATGGCCGGGTGGGGCTGAGGAACTGGCTTCCTCCGCAGAGATCTCAATCTCGGCCCTCAGTTCCCGGCCCAGAACCACAGGAACAGACACTCGGCCCAGCACTTCTTGCTCCAAGGGGCAGTCAGGGCAGGCTGAAAATAGAAACTGCTTCCAAAGAGATAAAGGTAAATTCATGGGGAGATATTACAGGGCTGGTGGGGGGAGGAAGCCCGGGGTTGGGGGGCGTCCCTGGGTGTGAAATAGTAGGTTGGCTCACACCCAGGGGGACAGATTGGAAGCTGAAGAGACAGGTTTGTGCAAGTCGCAGGAGAGATGGCTGGATACGCTGTGGGGGGACACACACCACCCCTTAGCTGAGAATGAGGCATCCAGATGCCCATGCTGTGCGGCCGGCCATGTGGCCACCCCGTCAGTCCTCAGTCCTCACCCCACCCCGTCCACCCCCAGCCCCGGTGAGCCCCTGTCCACACAGGAATGCCGGTGGAACCTGCTCATACAGAACAGCCGCTCCCATGCCTGAGTTTCAGCTGTTCCCCTGATGCCACTGACCTCCCAGACCCTGCACACCGGGTCCCTCACATCTTCCAGGGCCCCCCGTGTGCGCATGTGGAGTGTGGTGTGGTTTGGGGGGGGAGGTGTCCGGTTGGGAGGAGGATCCAATTCCTGTTTCCTGCCCCTACTCACTCAGCCCTGGGAGGTGACTGAGAGTGGAGGGGACTCAAGGGTGAGTGCTTGGGGCTCGAGTACCTGGGTCCCTGAGTGGGGGTAGGGAAGGAAGTAAATGCAGGTACTGAGAGGGCAGAATCCCTGAGGGGGGCAGCGGCTGGGGGGAAGGTGGCCAGGGGTTGAGGCCACCGTGTGGGTCACCTCGCTAAGTAGCTTCCTGCCTGAATGCAGAGACCATCGAGCTGTGAGACTCACAGTCTACAGCCCCCAGCCCCCACCCTACATCATTTCTCAAGAACCCAATATGAGGTCTGGAGGGGTCTGACTCTTCCTCTGACTTTTTTTTTTTTTTTATCTGAGATGGAGTCTCACTCCGTCACCTGGGCTAGAGTACCGTGGCATCAGCCCAGCTCACAGCAACCTCATAGTCCTGGCTCAGGCAATTCTCCTGCCTCAGCCTCTGGAGTAGCTTGGACCACAGGCATGTGCCAACATGCCCGGCTAATTTTTCTATTTTTTGTAGAGATGGGGGGGTCTTGCTCTTGCTCAGGCTGGTCTCGAATTCCTGACCTCAAGTGATCCTCCTGCCTCGGCCTCCCAGAGTGCTAGGATTACAGGCGTGAGCCACCGGGCCCAGCCATCCTCTGACTTCTGGAGGGAATTTGGGGGCTCCTTGTTTCCCAGCCCTGACCCTGAAGCCTTCTAAGGATTGTGGCCTCCTTCCCTGAGTGGGGAGGAGAAGCCAGGCCCCAGGGTCCTGGCCCTATTGGTCCTATTCTTCAGTCTGCTCTCCTGGCCACCGCCCAGGCCTCCTCGCAGGACCCTGGCCTCCACCTGGGAAGCGCTCTGTGACCAGCCCCAGGGGTGGGTAGGGATAAGAGGATGAGGGGCAGGAAAGACTGTGCAGGAGCCTTCTCGTCTCTGGTGGTCAGAGGCTCCAGGAATCTTGATGGCAGGAAAAGGAGACTAAAAATAATCCGGAAAGGGAGAGTCCGGAGGGAGGAACTGGGAAGTGGGGGGCGGAGGGCTGGCTGGAGCAGGGAAACAGTGATGCATCCCTCAGAGCCCAGGCCCGGCGCACACACGCGCACACTGTGCCCAGATAGCGCGGCACGCACGTCGCACATACCCGCCGGCACCCCCACCTGTAACATTCACACCGCATACTCATTAGTGAGCTGCACACCACGCACTGCGCGCTCCACTGCATGCTCGAATCACACACAAACTTCCACGACACACACCACGGACACGCAGCTCATCGGGCAGACACTGACAGCAGAATTCGCCTCACTGATTGTACTGATTCTCCGGTATTCCCGCCCCCAACCTGGGTCTCCAGCTAGCCACCGACCTCCTGCCCCCAGTCTCACTGTCTGCTCGGGCCTGACTCTGGCAGCAGCAGGTCCAGGGGCCTCAGAAAATGAAATGATAAGGAGGGTGAGAGGTGGAGAAGAGAGAAGACGGTGGGAATGAGAAGCAAAGAGAGAGGTGTGCCAGCCTTCCCTCCTGACTCCAAAATCATGGCTTCAGATGGCCTCAGTCTACCCACCCAGGAGGCACTAAGGGTCTCTCTCCCTCCCTTCTCCCCAGGGGATGACTCCAGCAGAGCACCCCACTCCTTTGAAGAGCTCAGAGGAGGATGTCAGCCCAGTCCCTTCCTGCAGCAACACCCCCTACCCAGAAGCCCCCTCGGATCATCCGCCCCCGCCCCCCTTCTCGACCCCGGGCTGCCCAGTCCCCGGGGCCTCCCCACAATGGCTCCTCTCCACAAGAACTTCCCCGAACCGCCAATGATGTGCCAACCCCGATGTGCACCCCTATCTTCTGGGAGCCCCCAGCTGCACCCCTCAAGCCCCCTGCGCTTCTGCCCCCCTCGTCTAGAGGCAGCCTTGACTCCCAGACTTTTCCAGACTCAGCTTCCAGCACCCCCAGTCCAGTGTCCCGGCGCTCTGTCTCCCCAGAGCCTGCTCCCCGGTCTCCAGTGCCCCCACCCAAGCCCTCCGGGTCACCCTGCACATCTCTACCCCTGCTCCCCACAGCCGGGGGCCTGGTGCAGGATGGCTCTGCCTCGGCCCCTGGCACTGTGCGGAGACTGGCTGGCAGGTTTGAATGGGGGGCTGAAGGCAGGGCCCGGGCTGCAGACACCCTGGAACCAGGTCCCCAAGGGGGAGCAGATGTGAACGGGGAGAGAGAGGCTCCCCTCACCGGGAGTGGGTCCCAGGAGAACGGTGCTCCCGGTAAGTGTGTGGTGGGACTGGGGTGGCCTCAATCCATCCCATCTTCTTCATTTTCAACACATTTTCAACACTTGTAGGGGCTAGCTTTTCAAAAATGGATTTCGTGTTTGGAAAATCTGGTTTCTGTATTTCTGGGGTTTGAAGAGAGTCAGGGTGGAGGAGATCTATAGATGCCTGGGACTGGACCTCCACGTTCAGGTTGCTGGGCAGGTTAAGCATTGGAGGCGCCTGGGTGGAGTGGGGCTGGGCCCCAAAGGCTTTCTTCTTAGGACACCTGTCTCCCACAGATGCAGCTCTGGCCTGCCCTCCCTGCTGCCCCTGTGTCTGCCATGCAGCCCGGCCTGGCCTGGAGCTCCGATGGGTACCTGTCGGGGGCAAGGAGGAGGGCCCCAGGGTCCCCTGCCGGGCCTCACCCCTGCGGACCTCCCGCTCCCGCCCCAACCCTCCAAGCATCCGTCACCCCTCCGTCGTCCTCACGTCCTACCGCTCCACTGCCGAGCACAAACTCCTGCCACCCCTCAAGCCCCCCAAACCAACTCGGGTCAGGCAGGATGCTACCATTTCTGGGGACCCTCCACAGTTAGATCTGGATCTGCTTTCTGAAGACGGAATCCAAACAGGTGCAGGGCCTGGGGAGTGGACCTCTGGGCTATGAAGGGACAGGGTAGGGGCGGTCTGAAACCCAATGGACTGCAACCCCGAGAGGCCCTGGGCTTTTTGTTCCTCTACCAGCTGCTGCTCTGGGCAGAGAGGAACTGTAGTTCTCATAGTGACAGTCTCTGCTGGGGCTGGAGTCAGCAGTCGCGGGCTGGGGGTGCCGGGGGTTGTTCTCTTCACTCTGTCTTCTCTCTCCAGGCGACAGTCCTGATGAAGCTCCTCAGAATGCTCCTCCAGCAACCCCGGAGGGAAGGTACCAAACGCCCCCAGGCTTAGTCCCCCCTTCTCTCCCCGCCATGCTCCTACCTGAGGGCAGACTAACCTTTAGGTCGGGCTAAATCCCACCTCCATGAAGGCACGGAAGAAGGGCCGGCGCTCTAGAAACAAGCAGCCCTGATTTCTAATCCCAGCTCTGTCCCTTATTAGTTACGTGACCTCACACAAATCCTTTTTTTTGGTTTGTTTGTTTTTGCCCAGGCTAGAGTGCTGTGGCATCAGCCTAGCTCACAGCAACCTCAAACCCCTGGGCTCAAGCAATTCTCCTGCCTCAGCCTCCCGAGTAGCTGGGACTACAGGCATGCGCCACCATGCCCAGCTAATTTTTTCTATATATTTTTAGTTGGCCAGCTCATTTCTTTTTATTTTTAGTAGAGACGGGGTCTTTTTTTTTTTTTTTGAGACAGAGTCTCACTTTGTTGTCCAGGCTAGAGTGAGTGCCGTGGCGTCAGCCTAGCTCACAGCAACCTCAAACTCCTGGGTTCAAGCAATCCTGCTGCCTCAGCCTCCTGAGTAGCTGGGACTACACGCATGCGCCACCATGCCCGGCTAATTTTTTATATATATATATCAGTTGGTCAATTAATTTCTTTCTATTTATAGTAGAGACGGGGGTCTCGCTCTTGCTCAGGCTGGTTTTGAACTCCTGACCTCGAGCAATCTGCCCGCCTCGGCCTCCCAGAGAGCTAGGATTACAGGCGTGAGCCTCCGCGCCCGGCCCAAATCCTTAACCTTTCTGGTTGTCAGTGTCCTCATCTATGAAATGGGGGTAAGCATAGCGACTGCTCACGGCGTCAATGGGGTCTGCTGCTGGTAAAGAGCTGGGCCCATAGCGAGTGCTCCATTTCCTTCCCTTCCCTCACCTTGAGCCTCTGTTGCAATTTCTGCCCCAAAGTCCATTTAGCAATCACGGCCATCTCTTCTGTGTTATCTGGCCTTAATCATCTTAGATTCACCACCATGATCGGAGGTAATCTGCGTCCGTTCACTTATTCAACAAACGTTCGCCCATATGTTTTTAGCTTGAGTGAATGGCTGTGCGTTGGTGCTGTGCCCAGAAGAGGGGAGACAGAGCTGCAGGTGGTGGTGCGCCGGTGTAGGAGTTTGCATTTGATCACGTTGAGCCTCACTGAGGCTCAAATAGGGCATTTTGCAGACAATGGTTGCTACAAGAGAGGGCTGAGATAGAGACTTGGAGGTCTCTGGGACACAGTAGGTGAGATAGCAGGAATAGATGTGTCCCGCTTAGTTCAGGGCCTTCTCTCCAACAGGCACATAAAACAACCGGGCTTTGACTGGGGAGCTGTCAGGGTCCCTGCATAACCTGCGTGCTGATATCCCTTGTGGTCCCCGGTGAATCAGCCCTGGGGTGTGCAACAGCGGTGGCCCTGGGGACTCCCATCCCTCGCTCTCTCCACAGGGATGAGGACAGGCTGGAGGGGCTGAAGGAGCAGAATTGGGAGCTGCCCTTGCAGGATGGTGAGAGCCTCTGGACCTGGGGGCCCCTGCTGAGACCACCGAGCAGTGGGGAAGGGTTGTGGACGCTGGACTTCCCTGAGTGCTATGTGTGCCCTCTAGAACCTCTGTACCAGACCTACCGAGCGGCCGTGCTGTCAGAGGAGCTGTGGGGGGTTGGTGAGGATGGGGGTCCCTCTCCGGCAAGTGCTGGAGAAGCTCCCACCTTTGCACGGCCCCCTGGACCTCGCAACACCCTGTGGCAGGAGCTTCCTGCTGTGCAAGCCAGCGGCCTCCTGGACACCCTCAGCCCCCAGGAGAGGCGCATGCAGGAGGTAGGCCGGGCACGAGGGCGGGGGGTGACCAGGGTCCTAGGCTGGCACTGAGCCGGCTTTCCACTACCGCCCTGCTGTCTCCCCAGAGCCTGTTCGAGGTGGTGACGTCTGAGGCCTCTTACCTGCGCTCCCTGCGGCTGCTGACTGACACCTTCGTGCTGAGCCAGGCACTGCGGGACACGCTCACCCCCCGCGATCACCACACGCTCTTCTCCAATGTGCAGCGAGTCCAGGAAGTCAGCGAGCGGTCAGTGGGGTCCCATCGTCCCAGGCCCTGGGCTGCTGAGCACCCCCTTACCTTTCTCCGGGCCCCAGAGTGGGCCCAGTTAGTTCCCAGCTCTTTGCTCATGAACCTGGGAAACCTGGCTCTCTGCCCCCCTCCAGTGCTTGCTTCCCTACTCCTTCAGGTTTCTGGGAGCGTTACTGTCCCGTGTGCGTTCTTCTCCCCATATCAGCGACCTGTGTGACGTGGTGCATGTCCACGCCGTGGGTCCTTTCTCGGTGTATGTAGATTATGTGCGGAACCAGCAGTACCAGGAAGAGACTTACAGCCGCCTTATGTGAGTGTCCCAGAGGCGAGGGAGGAAGGTGGGGTGAAGGGAGGGCTGGAGGCCACAGCAGGCTGGGGCATCTGAGCCTCCGGGCAGCCCCTAACCCCAGGGCCTGCTTCTGCAGGGACACCAACGTGCGCTTCTCCGCGGAGCTGCGGCGGCTGCAGAGCCTCCCTAAGTGTGAGCGGCTCCCGCTGCCGTCCTTCCTGCTTCTGCCCTTCCAGCGCATCACTCGGCTCCGCATGCTGCTGCAGGTACGTCCTGGCTTGGGGCCCTCTCTGCCCCACCAAGGCCACTGGAGACCTTCCCCCGGGCCTCTTGTCCAGCCATCACCATTTCCTGCTCCACCGTTAACACAGAAATTCCTCACATCACGACTCCCAATCTGCGTCTCTGAGTCCAGGAACCACCAAGCCCGCCCTGGAGCTGCTCAAATGCTCAGGAGGCGGAACAGGTGCAGGAAAGTGTCTCTGGCTGAAACCATGAGTTCTAGACTTAGCTCTGCCACTAACTAGCTGGGTGACATAGGGCAAGTCCCTTCCTCTCTCTGGGTCTCAGGGGCATCGTGGTGAGTGGTCTTTGAGGTGTCCTCCCGTTGTATTGCTCTACCTGCAGGCAATCTCAATGCAGGTGATATCACCTCCCCGGGGGCAAAAATTGGTTCTTGGAGGTGAAAAAAATTGGTTCTTGGAGCGATTGTCTCACCTTGGCCTCCCAGAGTGCTAGGATTACAGGCGTGAGCCACCACCTGTAATCCTAGCACTCTGGGAGGCCAAGGCGAGAGGATTGCTTGAGCTCAGGAGTTCGAAACCAGCCTGAGCAAGAGTGAGACCCTGTCTCTACAAAAAATAGAAAAATTAGCTGGGCATGGTGGCCTGTGTCTGTAGTCCCAGCTTCTCAAGAGCCTGAGGCAGGAGGATCACTTGAGCCCAGGAGTTTGAGGTTGCTGTGAGCTATGACAGTGCCACTGTGCACTCTGGCCAGGGTGACAGAGAGGGCCAGGGTGACCTTGTCTCAAACAAACAAACAAAAAAACAAAAACAGATTCACAGTATATCTATAGAATTAAAATTTCATGGTGGGAGCAGGAGATGGTTAGCGAAAATTGGTCAAAAAATCCTCCTTAGTGTAGTGATACTGGAAAAAAAAGTTGGAAAACACTCTGTTATTGCAAAATAGAGACCCCTCCCTAACCAGGTCACCCACTATGGGGCTCTTTATGTGAAGAGTCCCCGACTAGATTATCAGCTTCTCTGTGTCTTACTCAGCCTAGTGTAGATAATACAATGATAATAATGATACTAATCACAGTAGCTCAACAGCCATCGATGTGCTGTTCTAGGCACGGTTCCAAGTGCTAGCAGCTACCAGCGTGACCTTACTGACAACTGTGTGCGGGCAGGAGCTATTATTTACCCTACTTTACAGATGAGGAAACTGAGGCACAGATTAAACGACTTGCCCAGGTTAAACAGAAATAATGTATGGGGACACAGTTGTAATCCAGGCCCCCTGAACTACTCTGCTTTGTTGTTTGCACTAACAGTTGTGGTTAATAATTATTAAAATAATAGCAACCCTCTTTTCAGCAGTTACTATGTGCCAAGGACTACGCTAAGCACTTCACATATGTTACCTCCTTGAATCCTCACAACAATGCTATTGATATGCTAGGTGGGTAAGGCCCCCATTTTACAGATGGGGAAACTGAGGCTCAGAGAGGTAACATGATGTGTTCAGGGTTATGCAGACGGCAAGTGGTGAGGTCACTCGGCCTTGTCAAAGCTGGTCCCTCAGCCCTGTGAGCCCCAAACTAAGCATTTCACCAAGGCAGGCAGGGACCTCTGAGCTGTGGCCCCTCTGAATCCCAGGGCTGCAGAGCAGGGGGCCCAGTCACCCTTCCTCCTTGTCCCCAGAATATCCTGCAACAGACAGAGGAGGGGTCCACCCGCCAGGAGAATGCCCAGAAGGCCCTGGGTGCTGTCAGCAAGGTGGGCAGGAAGGAAGCTGAAGCTGGGAGAGGTGACAGGGTGGTAGGGAGAGAGGGAAGGGCGTGGGGGCTGGCCACACGGGGTGGGTGACTCAGCTCCCCCTGCCCAGATCATCGAGCGCTGCAGCGCGGAGGTGGGGCGCATGAAGCAGACTGAAGAGCTGATCCGGCTCACCCAAAGGCTTCGCTTCCACAAAGTCAAGGTGGGTCCCTGCCCAGACTCTCCATCTTGCGCTTCCCCACGTGCTGCGGAGCTGCAACCTCCTCTGCCTCCTCGCAGGCCCTGCCCCTGGTCTCCTGGTCACGGCGCCTGGAGTTGCAGGGGGAGCTGACTGAGTTAGGATGCCGGAAGGGGGGTGTGCTCTTCACCTCTCGCCCCCGCTTCACCCCCCTCTGCCTCCTGCTCTTTAGTGACCTGCTGCTCATCACTCAGCCCAAGAGGTGAGTCCCAGGGAAGTTGAGGTCCAGGCTGGGGTGGAGGTGGGGCATCCAGATGGCCCCTTGCTCTTCCTCTGAACGTCCTCTTCCCTGGGCAGTGGGCAGCGGCTACAGGTTCTGGACTATGCTCATCGATCCCTAGTCCAGGCCCAGCAGGTTCCAGACCCATCTGGACCCCCGACCTTCCGCCTCTCCCTTCTCAGCAACCACCAGGGCCGCCCCACCCACCGCCTACTTCAAGCTTCATCCCTGTGAGTTGTGGCTCCTTCGGAAAACACCCTTGGGGCCCTCACCTGACCTCTCAGACCACCACCTCCTTCTTCAGTCTTTCTCCTCTGTGGGCCCAGCTCCGCCCCCAGGAGGATCTCCTGGCCCAACTCTGACCCCTTCCTCCCTGCCCCCCAGATCAGACATGCAGCGCTGGCTGGGAGCCTTCCCGACCCCAGGCCCTCTTCCCTGTGCCCCGGACACCATCTACGAAGACTGTGGTGAGTTCCCCTAGAGGGGAAGAGGGAAGGAAAAAAATGAGTCTTAAGGGGAGTATGGGGAAGAAGCTAAAAAGAGTCTTGATCCCACCATAATGTCACTCACCCCCAACCAGACTGCTCCCAGGAACTGTGTTCAGAGCTGTCTGCACCTTCCAAGACTGAAGGACGGAGTCTGGAGTCCAGGGCTGCCCCCAAGCACCTGCACAAGAGCCCCGAAGGTGAGAAAGCCTTTCATTTATTCATTTAATAAATATTTATTAAGCATCTAGGAAGTGCCACTCACTGTTCTGTGAACCAAACACACAGAGCTTCCTGCTCTACTGGAGACGTATTCTAGTGGAGGAGGCGGACAATAAAGACTGAACAAAGTAAACAGGGAAATTATAAAGTATGTGGGAAGGTGATGAGTGCAATGGAAAAAACCAAAGTGGAGCAGGGTAGAGGAGGACAGGAGTCCAGGGTTGGATAGGGTTACAATTTTAAAAAGGGACACTGAGGTGGACCTCATTGAGAAGGCAACATGTGAACTTGATGGAGGTGAGGAATTTAGGCACATGGTGTCTGGGGGAAGAGTGTCCCCGTTGGAGGTGACAGGCAGTGCAAAGGCCCTAAGGTCCCACGTATGAGGGAAGAACTATAAGAAGGCCAGTGTGGCTAGAGGGAGCAAGAAAAGGGGAGAAACAAATGAGGTCACAGGGGTAACAGGGACCAGATCATGCAGGTCCAGGCAGGTCCCTGTAAGGACTTGGCCTCTCACTCTGAGATGAACAGCCATGGCAGGGCTTGACAGAGGAGTGACCCAGACTCGCTCTGATGCTACTGTCACCCCACCTCTGATGCTCCAGGCTTCCCCACTAATTGCTACACCCACCATGACCCCCAAGGCCTGAGACCCCCTTTCCCTCCTCACCTGCTCCCTGCCCCCACCCACTTGGGCTCCTGACTGTCTTTCCCCAGGTTGGCTGAAGGGGCTTCCCGGGGCCTTCCCTGCCCAGTTGGTGTGTGAAGTCACAGGGGAACACGAAAGGAGGAAGCACCTTCGCCAGCACCAGAGACTTCTCCAAGCTGCTGGGCCCTCTTTGGGCACCCCCAGTACCCCCCCACCCTAATGCAGACTGGGGAGAGGGCACATCTAGGAGACACCTAGCAGCGTGGCCCAGAGAGGACATCGCCCGCCCATGCCGCCATTGGATTCACTGTCTGTGGAAACACTACCTCTAGTGGCAACCAATAGGGACTGAGCTTCAGGACGGGCAGCCAATGAAAAATAGGCCGTCTGAGCCCACAGCGATAAGAAAGGATGGCTTGAATGCGTTGCCAGTGGAGACAGAGGCTCGGGCAGAGCAGCCAGGGAGTGCTGAACTGGTTGAGCCAATGGCTAACGAGTACCCCTGCTAGTCAGCTAAGGAAGATGAATCCAGGTCACGGCGGTTCAAAAAGGGCCTCCGTGGAGATAAAGTCCCAGGATAAAATAGCCAACAGGGATGAGCAGAGACCCTTCCAGCCAAAGATGGTGATCTGGGCTCAGGAGACCAGTAGTCACCCTGCTTGATTCCACAGCAACGACATCCCTGCCTTTGAGTCTGGGAAGTATTAGAGTCCACTCCTGGGGTGCCTCCTGTGCCCTCTCAAGCCAGTTCCTCTCTTCTAGAAGAATCCAGACTGTGTCTCAGAGAACATGTGTGTGTGTGCATGTGCACATGTGGTATGTGTGTGTGCGTATCAGGGGAGCGAGTCTGATGAACGCGGTGTGTGTGGTGGTTGCCCTCCCCCTGCAGATTGCTCAGTGCGCCATTTCTCTCCCCTCCCCCAATCTGCCCTATTATATTCTCCAGAAGAGTGTGCTGGGTATGGCTTGGCAATCGGAGGCCAGGGCTGGGGCTGAGAGCTCTGGGCCCTGGGTCTCTTGGAGGCCAGCTCTCTGTGGAAGTTAGAGGGTGATGTTATGGTGCCACCACGCTCTGATGCCTGGCAGAGGAGCCTGAGAAACTGAACATGGCCAGCAGCTGGGGCCTGAGGCCCCCTGGAGTCTGCAGTTCTTTCTTCTTGCCCCAGACACAGGCCTCGTGATCACTGCCTGCAGATCTCTCAACCTGAACTATACTCAGCCAGCCTCACTCGGGCTTCAGAGTCGCCTGGCTCCCAGGTTGAAGAAATGGGAGCTGTGGATCACAGGCCAGCCAGTGAGGCCCCTGGGCTTTCTGGCCTTTGTCCAGATCCTTTAACAGAAACACTGAGCCGAACAGTGGGGAAAGGACAGAGAGCGAGTGTGGCTGCCCAGCTCCATCCAGAGCACCTGCCTCCTGTGAGAAACCGCCCCTGCATGATGCCAGAAGGAGGTGAGGGATGGAGACAGCAGAGCTGACAGTAGCTGGCAAGGGGGCCCAGGCCTGGCACAAAACTTCCTGGGCTAGGCCATCACACCTTCCCTTCAGCTCAGGCACGGTGACTTGCCCAGGACAGAAACCGCCATGTCAACCACAGGAGGTGCAGGGACTCTGGGAGACTCAGACGGAGAAGGGCGCTGGCATCTGGCATGACCGTGACTTTGGAAACTCGCCTAGCACAGTGGCTGACATGTGGGAAACCCTGGATAAATGGTGGAGGAGTTGTACCGAGACTCTTCAGGGCAGCGAGTGCTCACAGGAACACTGATCTCCAAGCGTGGCTTTGTAAGACGGTGGGGCTGGTTGGAAAGGGGTCAAGAGCAGGGGTCAGTTTTGCTGCAGACTGGGGCTTGGAGGCCAGATTCAAGGCCTGAGTGTGTCGGCCCGCTCATAGCTCCCGAGAGAGCTAAGGTAGCGTGACGGTGGTGGTGGCGAGTCTGCAGCTGCTGTGGTTGGGGGCTGCTGCAGGCTGGAGAAGACAGGACAGGGCAGGCCTGTCTGAGGCTCTGGCAGGGGGTGAAGAGGCAGCAAGAAAGACAAAAGGGCAGTCGGTCAGCAATAAAGGCTCTTCACTGACTAGCTAAGCATCTCTGTGTTTAATTCAATTCAATTCTACATGGATTTATTGAGTGCCTTCTATGTGCCAGGCACTGTTCTAGGATCTAGGGACACAGAGATGAAAAAGACAAGGGCCTTACCCTCAGGGTGCCTACATTCTATGGATTTGGGGGGGGGTGCAATTATCAAGTTAACAAACTAATAATAAGATAAAATCAGATAACAGTAAGTACCATGAAGAAAATACAGCAAGGGCTGTCACACAGAATGCTGTGTATGTGTATGTATATGTGGGGTGTGGCTTTAAGGAAGACCCTGGAAGAGATGACATTTGTGCTGAGACCCAGAGGACAAGAAGGAATTAGCCTTGGGAAGATCTGGGGAGAGAGCAGGGGATTATAGTCCAGGAAAGAAGGTAGTGGTAGTTGGGATGGAGCATTTGGCATAAGACGGAGACACACTGAGCTACTCAAAGAGAAACATACAGACATCCAGGGGCAGACACAGAGCTGCACATGTGCCCCAATCCTTTTCCTCCCAGCTCCACACCCCCTACCACAGTCTTGCCACTAAGGAAACCCCCATGCTTCAATTAAGACTTTCTAGGCCGGGCGCGGTGGCTCACACCTGTAATCCTAGCACTCTGGGAGGCCAAGGCGGGTGGATTGCTCAAGGTCAGGAGTTCGAAACCAGCCTGAGCAAGAGCGAGAACCCATCTCTACTATAAATAGAAAGAAATTAATTGGCCAACTAATATATATATAAAAAATTAGCTGGGCGTGGTGGTGCATGCCTGTAGTCCCAGCTACTTGGGAGGCTGAGGCAGGAGGATTGCTTGAGCCCAGGAGTTTGAGGTTGCTGTGAGCTAGGCTGATGCCACGGTACTCTAGCCCAGGCGACAAGAGTGCGATGTCTCAAAAAAAAAAAAAAGAAAGAAAGAAAAGAAAAGACATTCTAATAGTGGGATCATGGGGAGATGCAGACCAGATAAGAGTTATTTTGGAGACATAAAGGCACATAAAATACAACCATGTGTGTTCCAAGAGACTGAGAAGACAGGAAGGAAGGGGACTTCCATGTTTCCTAAAGTGCTGAGGTTGGTTTTTGTTATCTTAGAGCCACCTTTTCACTCTGGGGTGACCTGAGTGTGTATGTGCAGTCTTGGAGGGGTCTGCATTCTGCAGGTCTGTCCAAGGGGCCAAAGGGCACGGAGCACAGCTATATGGGAAAGGGGCTGGTGTCGGGGGATGAGGACCACAGCCAGGAGGAAAGCTGATGGGAGACGGGAATGGGGATGTGGTAAGGAAGACAGAGATGGATGGGGAGGCATGGGGGTGCAGGCGGGACAGGTGGCAGTAGGTAGCCTGGCTCTGAATTCTGAATTCTCTCCGTCCTTTTTCCACACCCCGCCTCCCCAGGCATCTGCCTCGCTCCTTGGGGTGCCCATCATCCTTCCCACTTCTGTTCTTCCTGCCCCTCTGGGTGGCCTCCTGAAACTTCCTCACAGGTGTGGTAGAAGGGTGCTTGGGAGAAGTCTCTCAGTGGTGCCCTGTCCCACGTTCCAGGCACGGTGGTGTGGGTGGTGGGTGGTGGTGTCGAGAGGTTCACTGACTCACTTGGGGAGTTCTGGAGCTGCCACTACCCCATTCCTTCAGTCCATCATGCTGGGGAGGTGGAGGAAATGAACATTTCCACAGGCTCAGGAAAGGCACAGGTGTGCCCCAGCCCTGAGGGAGGTGCCTGAGGGGACAGGGTGGGGAGCTGGGCCCCTGTTGGGAGCCTGTCTTTGAGTCAGTATGTGCTCTCCGCACCCACAGCCCTCCGGGAAGCTGGGGATGAGACAAGGCAGATAGGACAGGGCTCTGACCTCTCCGTGCGCGCCTTTCCGTGGGCTCTGGGTCAACCTCTTCGTGGCCACTATGCCAGTGAGCTGGGTGAGGGGTTTGCACTCACGACCACAAGCCACAAGTGGGTGAGAGGAGCCTACCGCCGCACCCCACCCCTCGCAGCCTGCCCGCTAGCTCTCTCCCCTTCTGCTACCCCCAAGGACCCCTCCAGCCCGCTTCCTGAGCCCTTCAGCCTGGCTGGCTCTCTCTTTTCTCCATCTTTCCTCGCAGGGCTCGTCTTCCCCTTCAGCTCCAGAGGTAGCTGCGGGTTCGGGCAGGAGTACCGCCCCGCCGACTGCTCCACCGCCGGCCCCGACCTTGCTCCCCAGCGCGCCCTCCCCAGAGTACCGTCCCTCCACCCTCCCGCAGCTCTAGAGCGCCTCGGCCCAGACCGACTGGAGCGAAAGGCCAGAATTCCCTGAGGTTCCCCCTGACCCAACCCGGGCGCCCCTCACCCTCCTGGGCGTGGCCAGGGCTCCGGCTCTGGCCCCGCCCCCTGGACTTGGCCCCGCCCCCCGGGTCTTCTGCCAGGGCTCTGCCTCCTGGTTCCCAGCGCTCGCCTCCCAGGGGGGTGGCCGCCCCGGGGGAACAATCCTTAACAAGTGGAGGCGCTGGCTCTCGGTTTCCAGACTCATTAATAAATATGAGAGTTTTGTCACTGAAATATTTCTTTTTTCAGGCTGATTTGCTTTATTATAGGCAATTGTGTGTCCACTTCTTTGGAACTGCCAGACTTTGACCAGATATACCCAAAGGCTACCCTATATGTGGGGATTCATAAAACTTCCACATAGACATACTTGTCATTTGTAGTCCCACTACAGATTTGTACCCTGTGAACACAGGAATCTTGATAAATTCTAACTTATATGATTACCATAAAAAAATGTATAGTGCATTGATACACATAGGTGTATCAATGTCAGTATTGGTACAAATTAAAGCCTCAAGCTTTTAATTTTTCACATCCAGTGATTGAAAGAATTTTCCACAGATTAGCTTCTGGCTCTGGTTATCTCGATTTTGTTTCTTCTCCACTACCTATATACGGCAGTGCTGGACATTGTAGGATTTGTTCATATTATGATACCACCTTTTGTCTTGTATCTTTGTTTTACAATATTGGGTGATCAGACTGAGTGATCACCAGAGTAGATTGTAGGAGTATATTCCTAGAAGCTGTTCTCACACTAAGACAGTTAGCAGTAATTACATACAGAAGTGACTGAAAATTATTGTATCAAATTGCATTAGTTATTATCATGTAATGAATCACTCTAACATTCAGCAGCTTAAAACAACACACATTTTACACCCATTATCTTATAGTTTCTGGGGGCCAGGAAGCCAGGTGTAGCTTAGCTGGGTCTGCTGCTCCCTGGTCTCTCATGAGGACACAATCAAGGTGTTGGCATAGGGTCTGCAGTCTCATCTGAAGGCTCAACAGGGAAAGTATCTGCTTCCACACTCATTTAGCCGTTGTTAGTTGCATTTAGTTCCTCACTAAGCTAATCAGGGAAGTGGCATATCACCACTTTAGCTATTCTTCAGAGCCAAATTACTAAACACTGCCTATTCAAAAGGCAGGGAGGTTACAAGAGTGTGTGAATGTCAGGTGATGGGAGTCACCTGGGGGCCAGCTTAGAAGTCTGCCTACTGTATTCACTAAATGCAGACTGAATGTTTCCTCCACTCAGCTTCCTTTGGTTGGATCCCCAAAGTGTCTAAGTCTACTTCAATGCTACAGGACATGGCGGGGAAGAGCTGAAGTTGAGTGGAAAGAATAACCAATTTTGGTTAAGACTTTTGCAAATTTTACAGAGACATATGCTTATAGGAACGCATCTTAGGGCTCTGCAAGGGGGTCTGAAAGGGGCCAGTGAAAGTTAGGACCTTAAACTTAAGCTTTATTAGCTTCACGGAGTACCAGTCTCTGTTCCTATTCCCAAATCCAAGGCCTCTTTGCCTCTCCAGGCTAGAATCTAAACTGGGCCAGCCCTCCCTCCTCCATATTTTGCCCTCTCTCACTATCCCCCTTTTTCCATTCTCCTTTTGATCTGAGCACTTAGCAGAGCTGCAGCAAATGTTTGCTAGATTTAATTGACATTTTATCCACTCCTGTTGGCACTCGTCTTGGTTCTCGCCTCTTTTCCTCAGTCTAGCTTGTTTCTTCTCACCCCAAATATGAATAGAAAGAAATTTCAGAAATAAAACAGTTCCTTCCCCCAAAAGAAAGTGTTCCTGAGGTCTCTGGGCCTGGGCTCAGGGCTGTTCTGTGGCCTGGGCAGTGAACTGCAGGATGCAGGCAGGCTGCCTTTGTGTAGAATAATATTATAATTAAATTATATAATGAAATTAAATAATATTATAATTAGATGTTCTCTCCTGGAACTCTGGACCTTGGTGGTTAGCACAAGGAAGGGGGAGGTGTTCAGAGTTATTTATCACAGTGGCTGTGTCACTGTGTGATGGAACTCTTTGGGCTAGTAGTCTGTTGCTATGATTTCTGCCAGTTTCTTGCCCGACTGCCCCCAAACTCCCTTGGTCCTGCCAACCCTCTAAACTGGCCCCATGATTCTGTGAGCCAACTCCCCATATCCATCTAATAAATTACCATGTACTTAAGTTGGGAATACAGGGACATTCAGGGTGGTTTAATGGGTACTAAACCCCCCGAGGGATGATGGGGGGTTTTGCTCTGGGAACCCTGGAAGTAGAGACAAAGGAATGGCAAATAGGAGAACTTAGGAGAGACTGGAATAAGACCCATAAAATGCCATAGAATAGTCAGGTAAGGATTGATGCGCGTGGGCTCTGGAGCTAGCCGGCCTATATTCCAGTATCAACTCTTCAGCTCATCAGCTGTGTGGTTTCTTGGGTAAGTCACTTAACCTCTCAGTGCCCCAGCTCCCTCATCCATACAGTGAGGATCATGATAATAGTTATACCTGCCTGTTGGGATTATTTAGAGGGCTCAATGGCCTAACAATAGGTGTGAGGTACTTAGAACAGTGTCTGGTCTATAAGGAGTGTTCAGAAAATATTAGGTATTGGTGCAACATAAAACTTCAATGTTTTTGGTCAACAAATTACTCATGAATCTTTTATATTTAAAAAATTTTTTTATTTCTTTCAACTTT